CAGTCATTTTGTGTTCAGAGCCTGTATGGCACAGGGAATAGAAGACACAATCCGACCACAGTCCTATGATAGAACTTATTAGGCCTGTGAAAACGGCCTGTTACATAAATAGGCCGTGTCTCTGCTCTATTCATGTGTCCCAGTAAGCCATGACAGTGTGACAGTGAGCCTCTGAAACTGAAGCAGCTAAATGGAATGGGTTTTTTCCTACTGTGACATGTCAAACTATGTTGCATGAAAAAGGCCTATTAGACCCTGTGAAGGGGAGGAATACATGAAATAAACATAACCAAACAAATTTATATGGACAGTTGTGCACTGAGCACGTTTCATGGACCTTTTGGTCATGCAAGAAATCTTGAAAATACGCTTGAAAATGCCACTTAATTGGGGAATTTCTATCACAGCTGACACCAAATTCACAGTGGATGGACATGACAGAAATTCCTCATGGAAGTAAACACCAACTTGATTCTGAGACTTTTCCTTTTGCCACATAACAGAGTTTTGCAGTGTTTTAGATTGACAATCCAGAAATTGGCTTCTTCTGAAGAGTTCCTGTTCCTCGACGAGCTATTCCTTTGACAGTATACATGTACTCCCTTAATCAATAAATTAAATTTTAAATGGCTCTTGGATCCTTGTTCTTAAATGTGCACATAATATCTATGGTCCAGTCGTCCTTACACTACCTAATCAATCAATTATGTCTAATTTACATAATTTATCAAGTTTAGATAATGCACTCTTTTTTCAGAGATTATTACAGCACGTTTCGACTCAAATATTGTTACACATTAATATGAGTTTGAAAAAAGAAAATTATAATAGCACTACACCCCTGGTCAAAACTTCAGTGCAGTTTTCCCAGTTTGCACGGAAAACTTTTATACCTTGTTTACAGGCTTATGACCAAAATGTCAAAATACCCACAAAACATTTTGGTTCTACTTTATTCTCCTCTTTGGCAGACTGCAGACAGCAACATCCTGCACAGTTCAAATGTACCAGAGAAACTGTGGAAAGGTTGGCAAACAGCTGAATTCAGGTTAAAAGACTGTGATATCTTCAGACAAGCAGTGATGGACTCTCTAGAATTAAAGACTGGTGCAGACTTTGACAAGCGGATTTGTCCATCCAAATCCCAACTATCTATTCTTATGAGCCGTTATTCTTCTAGTAGTACACCTTTGATGAAAAAAAACTTCAGGATGCTTCAAACCAAATGTTTGTGAGATCGAAAAGGTCAAAAACCTCCCGTCACCCCCTCCACCCAAACCTTTCGGGCATCAGAAATGGAAGACTGAGTCCAACAATTTCTGTAACTTTCCAAAACCAGCAATGTAACAAGCAAATCAACATCATTCAGCAATTGGCCAGGTGTGCAGAGGTGAGAGAGTAAGCAGGGTTTAAACTCCTTTCTCCAGCTCTTTTTTTTTTCATTTTTCATACAATTACTTCCATCACATTAGGTGTCAACACAGAGTTCATAATTTTGAACTCGTTCAAAGAGAGTCTTTGTGAAAAAGTAGCATTATGCCTGTTGAACAGTATCTGGGCTTTTCACCCCACTAGCTGTTTGGAATGAGTATAAAGAGTTTTGCCTTCAGATGTGGTCAACAACACGTTTTACCCACTCAGTTATGATGAGCATAACATAGTGAGGAAAGCCTTTCACAGTGCAGAAATTAAATTTCAGGTTGCACAGTGTCTGACTGACAGTGGGAAAGATCAGGGGTTAGAGTCTCCCAGTGGGAAGATTGTAATCACAGACTGTGGTTGGTATTCATTTTATGTTTGAGCTTTTCATCAGAGGGCTGTGTTTTAACTTTCCCGACAAAAGTAAATGGGCAGCTCTCCTCGTGCAGCAGCAGGCGACACAGTGACTCATCGGGTCCAACATGTTTGAAGCTTTTCTGGCAAGCTTTCCTGTGATGAAACTAAAATGCCATCCAACCTATGCAGAAAGTTGCCTTGCTCATCTCTGCGGTTAGTGGTGGGTTTCAAAATGAAAAAAATGAAAAAAAGGGGTGCATTGTGGGAAAGCAAAGTAACACATAGCTTGTGACGTAGAAAAATGTCTTTCAATTTGTATCTCGACGGTTATCATGCTATATATTTGTAAAATTGTCGATGTCAAAGTCCTCTTTCCTTACAATCAAAATATTCAAAAGGATATGGCTTCATACAAAATAAAAGACTGGAAGTTTAGCACTAAAAATATACTGTGCTCTAAAGCTTTGTCATAATGCAATAAGCCCCAACCTTTGAACTTGAAATGTTAACAAATTAGGACTCAAACTGAGGCCTTAAAGGGTCAGTTCACCCAAATTGCTCACACAACAAACATACTAAAACATGTGTGTTGGAAGTGTTTACAGAAGTGATTACTTCTCAAGTGGTATTTTTTTACATATATATCGTTTTGGTTTAAAGGTTTAAAGTTTGTTTTTGACCTTGGAAACAGTGATTGAGAAAACTGTCTCACCAAGGTCCATTTAGTAGCCTGTTCTGTGGATTTTAATCATATCACATGATCAGAAAGCTTCATCAACAGAGGGAGTTGAGCCCAGTTGTCATGGAGCTGTAATCCATTTTTTCCCCTCCGTTTCCTAATGAAGATGTGATATGATGGGAAGCTCCAGAAGTTTTGGTTTTATTTCTCCAGATTAAAGTTCTATGGGGGTGAATGAAAGTCTCTTTATGGTGGTTACACATTAGAGCTAAGTGAGACGATGTTTTGTAATATTGGTGAACTGACCCTTTAGATATTCACAGCAGAGTGGAGGAACATCATCAAGGCTACAAGAGGTCTTGGCCGCTTAGTCACCGTGAGCTTAATTGGTTATTGATCCCTGTGTGGTACACCCTTAAAACCCGTCTATCTACTGCCTCTTGCTTCGAGTGGTGTGTGGGTGGTGCTGGATGAACAAGGCTGTTAATGAGGTTGTAAGGACTGTCATTGACAGGACCAGGAGGTCATTTCTGCACAGAGATTTGAGTCTCTGCCAAACATGTGATCAGACTGGTCTCGAGTTCAGAGAACTCGTCTAGTGAGGAATTTGAGAACGGGGAGTGTGTGAAGCGTCTGGGTGGAAGGCAGCCAAGAGCAGAGAGAGGAGGCAGAAGATGGAAATATCTGGGAAACACAGGACCTGGAAAAGACAACAGAGCCTAATAGAGTGACTGGAAAATTTGGTTAGAAGTATGGTTGATCAGTTTACCTATTAAAGGCAGTACAACACAGTCTTTTAGAATTGTTATAAAGGGAAGTTAATATACCCTCAGTGACATAACCAGTTATTTGGGCTTGGGCCACCAAAACACTGACCTCAAAAAAAAAAGTTACCATCAGGGAGTGTCAAGTTTGAAAGATGTGGGTGTTTAGCAGATGATGGGAAAACAAAACAATGCTTTCAAGTTGCATTATGGGAATTCTAAGATCCAGTATTTTTTGAGCTTGAGTCATATTAGGACCTAGAAGTCAGGCAACCTCAGACTCTGACCACTCACCATTTCTTTCTTTTTTACAGAGGTGCAATACTAAATTTTTGGGGTTTCCTTCTTATAATTTAATTGCATAATCTTTAAAGTGTCATAAACTAATGAAAAATGAAGATCACAATTACAAATTGTCTTCAAGTAGGGTCCAGCAGTTGAAAATCTGGAATCCAGAAGAAAAGACCGGCTGACTTTAGTGATCCCAACTTCCCTCTAGCGCCACCATGAGGTGACAAAGGTGGTTCTGAGTGAAACATTGCAATGAATTTTGCTCCCATTTCATCTGGTACTACCAGGTCAAAATTCAAATTCTTGCAAAACTAATGACATTTAAATACAGCATAAACTGTACTTTAGTGTTACATTTGAGTTAGTTGGTTAGTTAGCAAATGCTAGTATTCTAACATGCTAAATTAAGATGGTGACCATGGTAAACATAGCATGCTAGCATTGTCATTGTGGGGTTATTAGCATGCTAATGTTAGCTTTCAGCTCAAAGCACTGCTGTGTCTAAGTACAGCCTTTTAAGAGATGCTAGCATGGCTCTAGACGTAGTCCTGTTGGATGATAAATAACTTAGTGAAGCTCTAATTGAAACTTCATCTTCACATCATCCGGAGAGACACCGACTCTGAAACTGTTGCACTCAGACAAAAAACATCTCAGTTGTGGTCATAGACCACAGGATTTGAAGGTTGTCAATAGATTGAGTATCATGAAATGTGGTTTCATTAAACACACACATCTTGTGTGAAATTATTTCAAAACTTCACTTGAGAGCAAAAAGGCGTAGAGACCTCTTTATTGAATTTATTAAGTTGTATTCAGACACTCAAAACTGATCAGCCCATCACTAGTAATGCTGTTTTACATCATTAAAATTCATTGAGCTGTAAGAGAGACCACCAGTTAGGTTAATTATGCTACCTGTTTATAGCCGTAGGTTAGCAAGTCCAATACAGTCTGTCATATAAAATCGAAGGGCAGTCATCATTAATTAAAACATGATCAACACTGTGCAATGAAATAAAAGTTCCTTTCAAACATGACCATGGACCATTTCTGAGAAAAGTAACAAGACACCACATAGGGATTTTGTTAATAACACTACATATACCTAAAAAGACCACCACTGCTTAACATTTGACCAGTTTGTGACAATGTCTAGAATGAAAATTAAAAAAAAAAAAAAAAAGAAAAGAAAAAAAAGCAGACCTATATTGAACTGTACAATTGTTCGGAATCTCTAGATAAATTTCCAGGTGAGCTTGTGAGCTCTGCAAGCTGTACTAAAGGAGGAAGAAGACAACATTGCAACATTGCACCCTATAACAACATTAGAGTATATTTTTTTTCCACAGACTTGTGACAATGGGTAGTAGTCCAATTTTCTGTTTGTGTGCTGTCTGAACTCTATTCTAAAAACCACCACCCTCCACCACCACCACCACTACCACCACCACCCACCACCACCCACCACCACCCCTCCCCCCCTCCCCTTTGATTCAGATCACCCATATTGGTGCAGGTCAGCTACTGGCCTGAACAGAAACAGAGTGGATGAACAAAAACAAGAGTTTAACATAGTACTAGTCGTGCGTTCAAGTCTTTGTAAGATGACTCACTAAGCAGGATGTTCAACAGTTGGCAGTTTTTCCTGTTGATTTTCTTTTTCATTTGAAGCCGGATCTGTTTTAGAACTGACATGGGACTTCTGCAATGAACTCGATGAGGCTGCAGCATGAAAGCATTCGTTGAAGAGGAAAGCTGAATTTAAATATCTTGTCATACTGGTTTCATGTTGGTTCCTGATGTTCCTACACTTTCCCAAACTTGCATGTTTTCCACACTGTGACTGCCGTGTTATTTAATGTGATGTACAGTAATGTAACAAGCCCGCGTCGCTCTAAAGATGAAGATTCATATTTTTTGCTTTCATATATATATATCTAACAAAATTTGACTGGTTGCACATAATGAGAAGCCTGACATGAATCAAGGCTGTTTTTCTTCTATGTTCTCAAAATACCTTTTTGTGTGTTTCCAACTTTTTCAAAAAACTGGAGAGCACTAGATTTATTTTCCACACTTTTCCGTTAGGAGCCTTGGACGAAGATGTTCTCTTCAGTAACAGATGTGAGGAGGGAAGGGTTCTCAGTTTGAATGACTTTCCTGGCACTGTCTCGACACATCAGTGCCTCACAACAAACAGTCTGAGAAGCCAGGCGTCTCGCGATGGGAACAATTTGGTTTTCTTGTGATTGTGAGCAAAACCTAACCCGCACACACGCAGAGTATTACAGGCAACATAATTCGCATCCAGTCGACCCTGTGAAGTGACAAATGAGGCTACACCTTCTCATCAGCAAATCACTCTTGGAAACTCACACACGACACAATCACACGTCCACGGGTTTCTCACACGCTCAGCTTTCTTAAATGGGGTTAGTCTTCAAACTTAATGAGAAACAAAAATGTGTTGTTTTTTTTTTTTTTTTAGGCGTTGTAGTGATACATGCATCCATTATACTGATATACACTTCTTAAAAAAAGTAAATAAAAAAAAAGAAAAAAAGAAAAAAAAAGAACATCAACAAAAAAAAAAGGTATTAGAAATGCAGCTATACAGAGTCTTTTAGCTAATCCAGGGGAGTGAGGGTGAGGGTCAGGTCTGACGTCAGAGAGCCAAGGAGCCCGATGTCCAGATGTTGAGAGGGGGTGGAGGGGAGGGGTCAGAGTGGGGGATGTGTGTGTGTGTGTGTGTGTGTGTGTGTGTGTGTGTATGTGTGTGTGAGTGAGGGGGGAGGATAAGCAGGAAGAGCAGGGTTAGTTACTGCAGCAGGGACGGCTGGTGGGCTGAGCCGTCTCTGTCAGGTCCACTCCCCGGTTCCGCCCGCTACTGGCTCCGGCAGCTTGAGGCTCGTTCTTGGGTAGTTTCTTTGCTGCAATGACACAACAATAAGGTCAGTGATGACAAGAGCAAAGACTATCTGATAAGACAGGTAGAGACCCTACACCTGTGAGGACACCAACATTTATTTTACAGAGTAACATCAAACACACTTTCTTGAGTACTTGTACAGCCACTCTATTACACTACATGACTCTATGCTGGTCCCAGTGTGTAGTTTTCATAACAGAAGTTATTTTCCTTCTTCCTCCTCTATAAACTAACTACAATTAAAACAGCGAAAATTGTCTCATCCTGAGACAACAAACCTGAGGTGCAACAAACCTTGCAGGAGAGTAGGGCTGCAGCCAGTGATTTTTTAATCATCGATTAACCTGTTGATTATTTTCCAGATTAATCATTTTCTCTGTATAATGTCAGAAAACTGTGAAAAGTGCCAGTTAAGCTTCCTCACATTTGCTTGTTTTATTCAACCAACAGTCCAAAACATTCAGTTCACTGTCACATACGAAAAGAAAAGTGTCAAATCTTCACATCTGAAAAACATTTTGCAATTTTTGCTTGAAGAATTATTAATCATTTATCAAAATAGTAGCCAGGTCATTTTTTGCTAATTGATTAATTAGTTGCAGCTCAAGCACAGCCTGTACATGCTCACACAGTCTTGAGCATAGATAAGTGGGTTGACTATAGGTGTGTTCACTCTAAAGAATATGTAGTGAAAAGACAGCACTCTCTGGTGGACAAACTGTGTATTGGCCCCACTAGTTATACCTCAAACTACATTTTACACAGAGAGCTGACAGGCTTTATTTAGCATGAAAGCTGCTTGATTCCTTTATTGTAAAAAAGAAACACACATCATTTGATGCAAATGTAGCTAAAGCTTTCAGTGCTGCATCTCTCTAACGGGACAGTGTCCTTCAGAGGATCTGAAGACCCCGGCTGAGAATGTGCCTCCTCCCCAGTTGAGACCAAAAAAAACTGCACCTTTGTTTCCAAAACAATCATCAAGAGCTTGCCCTTGAACAGCCAGCAAAGCGGTAGGTACCAGTGATTATGGGCTGAAGAGAACAGACTGAATGCACCACTAAAAACCGACTGCCTTGCAATGTATTATGGGATACTGAGGGGTGAAGCCAGTTGCGTCCTCCGAATTCAGGCAAAGGCAGGCTACATTTCTCTGATGGATTCGGAGGAGGCTTTGTAATGAGAAAGCGTTGTCGACCTATTATTATGTAACTGGCAGTGAAATGCAGACTCAGAAGGAAGCGTTCCCTGAAGTGGGTTAAAGCAAGAGTCTCTCGCAATGGCAGATAAAGGTAAATCACATCCAACATATCATACTTTATCATACTATACACACATGGTGATGATGGGAGATGAGGAAACAAAAGGATTTCTGGGATTTGTAGTCATGTTTACACTTATAATATGGGGAATCACATCTGTTATTTATCTAACAAACTACACAAAGCACCTTTCAACTACCTGCAGAAAATTATGTATATCTGTTGTTCAACCTTAACGTTCACATTTTCACATGAGAGATGCTCTGCACAACCACTGTCTTTTACTGTTGCTCAAGGGTACTCCAGCAGAAAACACAAGACAGAGCATAAACCATCCTTATAACACACAGCTGAGTGTGTCAGGGCTATAGTGACTAGTTCTGTGAAGTAGGCTCACAAGCAATAATCCACTTCATATCTTTTAAAAGTCTTCAGACATATCGCAGCAGAGACACTTACCAATGGCCATGAAAATCTCATTCACGTTCATAGAGGTCTTTGCTGATGTTTCCATGAAAAGCAAGCTGTTGTCATCTGCGTATGACTGTGCATCCTGTTAAATAAGAAACCACATCAGGAAGCCATTAGTTAAAATCACTTTAAGTACTTCACAGTTTGCAATCCTGGATGGATGAAACACTAAAGGTGGAGGAAACGAGCGGTGCACAGGTTGGTGATCACACAGAGAATGTGTTCTCCTGTCAAAACCTGTCATAAATAATAATCGGCCCTGTGAATTTTTTATGATAACTGCAACAGACACTGACACAACTTCCAGTTTATTTGTAATGATCTATCTGCCTCTGTTTACATCCTCAGTTTATTCAAAAGGATTTGAAGAAGACAAACCTGGAAGTCCAGTGCTCTCTTGTTTGCGAGATCAGCCTTGTTCCCAGCCAGGGCTATTACAATATTTGGACTGGCTTGTCTCTGAAGCTCTTTAACCCAGTTCTTCGCCCGTACAAATGACTCCTGGCAAACAAAACATATCGTGGCTGGTGGGATGAGGTAGGTGGGCGGGCGGTGGGCGGTGCGTGGAGGTGGCCGGAGCAGGTTTGACTTCCAGGTTAGTGAATAGCACCATCAGGTATACACGGCAAAAGCTGTCACTAACGACAGCCGTCTGTGACCAATAAAGTAATGAGAAATGGCCCTAAAAGAAACAAGCGAGCAGTGAATTTCGATACACTCTATTTTCTATCTATACAAAACGAATATTAGACGGAGTATCACGCCATAAAAGAAATTGAGTCCGGCACAATCTAACTAACGATCGCCAATTAACAATGAAAACGATTCCGCATCATCTGTCCTCAGATTCGTTCGTTGCGTAATTACAGAGAAGAAGAGGACAAGAGTAGCCTTCCCATGATGTCTGGTTAGGCCTTTCCTTATCTTTTGATCAAAGAGTAGAAGGAATAAAGTCTCATTATAATAATGAAATATGAAACTAATGAAAATGTCAACAGGTTTTCATCTTGCAGATGAAAGCAACATTTCTAAAACTAAAAGACAGTGAAAAGTGGATACTTGCTGTCTAATACAGAGACTATGTAGAGGTTCCAAGACCAATATGACCAATATGGAGTCAAGTAACTAACGTAGGTATGACGTCTTTATACTATACATTGTCCACAGAAGTGTTGTTGAGTGATGACTCATCTCTTTATTCTTCAAGATACCAAAAATAAGCTTCTATTTTTTGATTGACTAAGAAAACTTAAGATGGAAACCCCCACCATCCTCTCAACATTGACAACAACCTTGTTTCTGTTATGGTTAGTAAGAGCAGGTATGGTAACAACCACCAAATGACAGAAAACCTTGCACCTGACTCACCTCATTTGTTATATCATACACCACGATGGCCGCCTGGGCACCTCTGTAGTACATGGGAGCCAGACTGTGGTAGCGCTCCTGACCAGCTGTGTCCCAGATTTCAAACTTGACTGTTGTGTCGTCCAAACATACTGTCTGAGTCAGGAAGGCAGCTGCAGGGGCACAAAGCAGAGGAGCCAGTGACAAATGGGCCTGTAGCAACTGAGCTGCACAAAATGTCTTTCTGTGAGGTAATAATTTAAGACCAATGCTGGAGACACACAAGGGGATTATGTGCTTGACTTAGTCCACATTTCCACATTTTGAAAACAGGGTCCAAGTAATATCAAACACATTTTATGCAGAACATACAAAATCTAGATGGGTGCTGGTATTAAGTTAGGTGGAATTCACCTATTTTACTCAGGGCTGACTTCTGGTCTGGGGATTGAACCGGTGACCTTCAGGTCACAAACCTTTAGGCCATCACTGCCCACTGACTGCACCTCTCCAGTTATGGCTTTACCCAGACCCTATTATGTTTTTTTAATGGTTCTTCAGGGTGTTTGACTAGATAACCTAAGTTATAACTTTAACTGTACCTTTGCCTTGTGTGCTCTTAATTGTGTCAAATTTTACAAATGTTCAGGTGTGTTCATTTGGCCTCAGGTGAGTTGGAAGACTAACAGTGAGAAGTGAGAATAACAATGCAATGGAATGGATGGAATTTGATTAAATTATGCTATTTCTGTTCAGCAGTGTGTTTGCCAGTCACTAATAAGTGTAAGATTATGTAGATGTTAACCTTATGGAAACCACTGGACCAGGAACTAAGGGTAGATGTCTGGGAATTCACCTGATTATTCCTACAGTACTCTGTTCACGTTCATCTTCAACTGTAAACTGATTTCCTCCGTTCTTAGTAATATTTCCTATACTCTGGAATCACAAATGCTTATTTCATTGCCACTTTTTTTTCTCTCTATTTACTGTTCAGAAAACATGGCCCTTTTGACAGCTATTTGTTTGTGCGATTATGAACATGATCTACATATTTAATGCTTACTCCAGTTGTGTGATTCACTGCAAGTCTTGCCATGACAAGAATTTGAATAAAAGTAAGTCTAGTAAGATGCATACCTCCGATTGTGCTCTCTTGGAATTCGTGAAACTGTCCCTTGACGAAACGAAGTACAAGACTGGACTTCCCCACCGCTGACTCTCCTAAAAGCACAAGTTTGAACTGACAAATCTTGTTGCCTGTGTTTGGCCCATTGGGTCGTGTAGCTCCACCTCTACTTGCCATGTCACACTGTCTGCTCTCTTCCTCTGGACACAGATGTACTGTGAAAAACTTCAGAAAATACCTGTACAGGAGAGAGAACAGAAAGCATTGTCACTGTCACATAATAAAAATCAAAATGACTCAAACATGTCGGGACATAATTTTGGTTACAATACAAATTTACTGATTTACTGTTTATTAGTAAATTACACATATATTTTGACATTTTATGGTCTCAAACTATGAGTCATGATTATAACAACGAAGCAATTCATGTGCTGCACACGCTGTTTATAGCATACAGCAACTGAAACACAGATGCAGTTGTAGTTGTTAATTCTTCTCTACCCATATGTTGGCACTGTTAAATCAAGTCCATTCATAGAATACTCCAGATTTTAAGATATAATATGGCATACTTTATGTCACAGTTTCAGGCAGAAAAAAAATACTTATTGTACTACTGGAGTAAAAGCTTTCAGAATAAGTGGTTGTCTGTTAGAAACAACATTTATGCACAGTCATACTTATAAAGTCTATAGGAATTTTAACATTATAGCATGGTGTGGTTTTACAATATTTCTTTTTAAGCAGTCCGGTTCCAGAGGCCAGAGTTACAAATATAAAACAATGACCATGGAGGGAAATTTACTGTAATTCACTACAGACACAGAGTCAACAAAAGTTTCAAATTACCAGCCACACAGTCTTTCCTCTTTAAACAATAGGTGTTTGCTTTCCATAATAAGTAGCTAAGGAAATAAGTAAAACAGGTATAGCAAAAACATACTAGAGTTTGGCAGACAGTGAAAGTCAATTTTCACCTGACATTAAACACAACATTTTGGCAGGCGAAGAGCATCTGAACTTCTGCTTTCAAAGTTGCCAAAGTTTCTCACCTGTGCTTTTATAAGTTCACCCTCTAGAAAAAAAGTTGACCAGGTGGTGTAGCTGTGATTATCTGCAACAACAAACCTCTGGCAACTCCTGCTTGTAGCCTTAAGTTCTATGAGACTGACTGTTACAAAGGAGATTAGTAATGACACGAGTCTGGGCATATATGTGGGAAAATGTTTTCCATGCCCGGATCTGTAGATTGAAGGTGAACAGCAACACCAACCATATTGACCAGTTAAGAACAGATTACCTCTCTAACTGGGGCATATCTTTTTATTTTTTTATCAGCAACCAAGTAAACACAGAGTATGAGTCCAAAAATAATTGTTTTCAACTTCGTCGAAATCGCATTACGACACACAGTTAACCACAAATAACCTGTTATGTTGTTGCTGACTGGCTCGAATTAGCAGAGTAACGACTGTTAGCGGTAGCAACAGCTAGCTCAAAACCAATCTCTGCCTATATTAAAGCGTAATCTAACCTCTGTAACGTTAGTTTCAATCTAGGTAGCCCATTACACACCACGCGTATACACACTACTTAGATCTGACATTTATATAGCGTTTGAGAATGCCAAAACACAGATGATGTAGGTTTGGGTGTGTACAGCTAGTGACAGCTAGCTAACGTTAGCTGCATGACGTTAGATCAGTGACCTACCTTATCAATCAGTGGACTAAACAGGGTCGCGGATGTTTGTTATTTTGAACATCAATATGCTAATGATCTAAACATGATGACTCATTCGGATTCACCTGCCGAACAACGTTTATTCACTATGCTAACTAGCTTGGCCCTTCCAGTATCGGTTAGCTAACGTTAGCTAGCCAGATAATAGACACTGGGCTGGCTAACGTTGTTTAGCTCTACCCGCATCGGGAGGAGCCCTCTGGATAGCCATTAGCCAGCCAGCTAACGCTAATATTAGCTACTCACCTGCCAAAAAGAGGAAGCTAGTTAATGTGAATGTTGTCTCCAGGACAATATTTGTGGCACTTCAGTGTCTGTTCACAGTGTATCCAGTACCCAGCCTGCAACTGTAACGTTAGATTTCATAAGGCTCTGCGATGTCCCTCTCCCACTTCTTTCAACTTCCCTTTTCGCATTGTACGAAGGATGATGACAGATCGTATGACTAGAATTGACAATCCGCCTACGTATCAGCGCGACGGACCAATCATATGTAAGCATCTATTCCCAATTTACTGGTACGTGCCTTTCCAAATAACCACAAAACACAGCCGTAAAAAAAACTACCATCAAGAGCCAGACTCTCAACAGTATATAGGCCGAAAAGAGGGAATTTGTTAACGTTAATATGTGGTTTAAAACAGTCCGTTTCTAAATAAAAATAATTACCACAACGATAACTTTATATTCACCCTAAAGTATTTTCAAACACAGTGTCATAGTATTTTGAATTGAACGGATGCAGAGACGGTATAAGGACTTTGGCAATCTGTTGTTGCCTGGCAACGGAAGTCAAACAGGTGCACAACTTAGCGTCTTCTGAAGAACTTAGTGTGACACTAGAAACCTGTGCAAATTATCCCCAGGGAGAAAGAATTAAGACTAACAAAAAGTGATTTCGTCTGTTACTGCTACATGTGAATTCAATATGAACATGACTGGCGGAAATACCTCTTACCAATTGAAATATAGAGATAGATGTCCACACATACCGACGGTAAGTCAACTTTAAAATAATGCTAGCGAGCTAACGTTGCCATAGTCCCAGCTATACTGAGTCTGGGGCGTTTTATCTAAATAAACCTTTGTCTTTGTCTATATATATATTTTTTTCTTTTACCACCAGGCCGGAAAACTAGTACCTGCGGGAGACAGGGCAAAGAGCTGCTTACAAGAAGTGGCAAGGGTAAGTCCAGTGGTGGAGGGGGTAGCTACTCAAGAATGTAAAAGTAGCAGTACCATAGTGTAGAAATACTGCATTACAAGTCCTGCTTTCAAGTACAAAGTAGTAGTAGAAATAGTAAAGTATAAATACTCAAAATGCAGAATGGCTAATTTCAGAATTACATATATTATTGGGTTATAATTGTTCATGCATTAAGTATCACTAATGTTGCAGCTGGTAAAGGTTATATACTGCTGTGTTGCTTTTACCACAGGAATACAGCATAATTAATGAGTTTATTATTTTTTGTATGAATAATCTGAATTTGCAAAATAATTAAAACTGTCAAATTAAAGTAGTGGGGTAAATAGTACAATATTTCATCTGAAATGCAGTAAAGTAGAAGTATAACGTAATATAAAATGGGAATACTCAAAAGTATAAATAACTCAATTTAAGGACAGTACTTGAGTAAATGTACTTAGTAACATTCCACCACTTTGGGTTTATCTCAGGGTGCTTTGGAAAAGTGAATGTATGAATATAATTTGAAGTGACAGACAGATTTGTAAATTTTCTTCTTCACTTTCTCTGATAACCCATATTAACATTTTTGACTTTGCAGCCCTCCACCCCGCCTGTGGTAAGGAAATTTCGCAACAGCATCCAACCAGAACCAGGAGCTATCAGAGTGCACTCAGGCAAAGCAAATGATCCAGATGTTGCCAGCACTCTTGTTCATGGCATCAAGACCAAATCATCCCTCACCGTGAGTTCCACACACATACACACACACACACACACACACACCTCCTTAAGGGTTAAAGGGACAATAAGGAGAGTTTTTACTACCCCAGATTTGGCTCTTTGTTTTTATGATTGTGTGTGATGTGATTTCAACAGGGCAGAAGCTTGCTAAATCCTCCCAAAAAGACCTTGCTCCAAAAGAAGTTACAAGAGCTGAGTGAAGTAGTGTACACTTCCAGTCAGAGAGCACCTTTAGGAAGATCACATGATCAGCATATTGGACTTCCTACCTGGTATAATGACAAAAGTACCTTTGGTATTAAAATGGTTAAAGGTAGGTATAACATTAAATAAGATAAAACATTTTTTAAAGGAAAATAGGCTTAAATCTGGTAAGATACAAATACTGTAACATGAATCAGCTAATATTTTTCTACTCTTATTAAAAATGGGTCAACTCTGCAATTATGCTAGTTGTCCCTTAAAGTGTTCTGATTTGTTTTTAAATGTTATGTTGTAAATATTAAACATAAGAGTAGGTGTCATTTTACTGAAATGAGGAGCTTTTTGTCCAGGGTTGGATGTGTGGGAGATTATTAACCCTTCAAAAACAGCTGAGGAGGTGGAGAGGGAATCTCAGGAGGGACACGAGGCTTATGTTCGTAGCCACAATGCCTATTTTGTTGGTAAGAGGAATGGAAAAAATCATGTCATGTATAAGGCTTTTACTATTATCCCCAACTTTTTATTTGTTAAATTTTATGGATCATATTGAAATGTGGTGTCTGTTTTTCACAAGAATAAAATCATCTTACTCTTCTTCAGGTGAGCGGATTGATAGGAAATATGACTGGAGTCACTGCAGTAAAGACAGCAGGTTTGGTATCCTCACACCTCATTTTAATGATGGCCGTAATCTTGGCAAAACTCTCCGCTGGCTTGGCGAGACACAGAAGTAAGTGCTGAAATAAATTGGCCACAAACTTAAGTTTTGCCGTTAATTTCCATAACATTGTGTTTCCATTCAGTGTGTATGTAATTTAAAAATCTTTCACTCATATTATTATGCCACAGGTTTTACAATCCAAAGACTGTTTGGAAGAGATCTGGGAACAGGGAAAAGATGGAGACACAAATTTACAAAGCGAACAAGACGTAGGTTCATACTTCCTCTGACCAGTCCTGTGGCCTCTGACTAAACTTGACTAATTAATGTTGAACTTCATCCTCTCTATAAACCCATTGTTTCAGGAGAGGAAATTCCTTGAACGTTCCACCAGATCATACCTTTGGAATTCTCTTACCACTGGATGAATTTGGTATTCATGAGTTTCTGTAAAAAATATATAATCCCTGGGTTGTATATTGGAATATGTAAGATATACACATGCCGGAGACAGCATACAACATCTTGCCTGCTTCTTGCACAGGTGTCGGAGAAACAATCCACTCCACGGAGCCAGGGCAGTATGTGAGAGGTCGAGACAGACAGCGCAGCCTTGTCAACACAGTGCGACACCACCTCAAGAAGGTCAACTTCCACAACTTCCCCTCCCTGCTGCAGGCATTCAGACATTATGACAAGGTACTGTATAAACGGAGTGACCACAGGCAGGGTCACACAATGCTATTGACCTGTATTTTCAATCTGCTTACTATTTAACTCATCACACTTAAAATAACACATTTAGTATACCAAAGAATGACCAAAGGAAGCTGAGCATAATCCTTTCTCACAGTGAACATTTTTACTTGTCAAAGCAGGAAAAGCTGCTTTCTGTTTTGTCCCAGGCAGCCATTTTTTATGTTATTGGTTACATCTGTGTTTGACAAGTCAGCTGTGAGAAAGGCCAGTTGCAAGGTTTGAGATAAAGCCAGTGGTATGAGCCCAGTGTTAAGATGGGATAAAGTAACAATGCTATTATAATTCACTCTGTAGTTGGTGAGCCTTTCCATGTGTATCTCTTTATGTAAATCACTAGAAAGGCAAGGGAATGATTGATAAAGAGGACCTGCGGGCAGTGTGCCGTCAGTTCCAGCTGGATGTTAGTGGGCCGGTCCTGGATGACCTGATGGATTACTGTGACACAGACAAAGACGGACTGATAAATTTCTTGGAGTTTGCTAACTTCCTCAACTGGAAGGACAAGATGCTCATCAACACTCAGGAGCAAGACATCATAACAAACGGTCAGTTAAATGTATTGTTAGGAATCAATTTATTTACTATAATGCTCCAAGAGGATCTGATTATTTAACCTTAAAGTAAGAATGCTTTTTTAGGGCCATTTTGCTTCACATATATTTTTATTCATTAAATTCCCCTGCTCAGCTCTCAGGTACTGAATTAGACTGCAAAAAAATAACACTAGAATTTGGCAATAAAAGACTCAATAGCCTAAGCTTGATTTTATTGTGCACCAGGGTGATGCAGAGGCTATCGGTAGGCTAATTTTCAGAAACAGATTTTGTATCTTTTGTCTCTTGCAGAGTGTCAGACCAGTGTAGCTCCAGCTAACAGAGAGAGGAAGCCTCTGTCAGAATCAGAACAGCTTCCTGCCTCTCAGGCCTTGATTAAACCTGAGGACTTGGAGCCCGTAGAGCAAGGCAGCTCAAAGAAGACTCTCAGGACCCTAAGGCGACACAAGGCAGACCCAGATCACTTCATCACCTCCTCCTCCTTCATCGGGGCTATCAGTGATCGTTCGCTCACATCAAGTAAGTCAGCAATAGTGATTTGCTGTGATAAGTATGTTGTACACTACATTAGCATGCACATCCACACACAATGTGCAGACTGTAGACATGAAAATGATTGCAGTTTCACCATTTCACATTTTTCTTAACCTTTGGGATTTGTGGTTAACAACATAGTATGATCAAGGGTGTATGTCAATGGTGAAAAAGACAAGAACAGCAATATGCAGACACAGCTCCTTATATGCAAATATCTTAATGACACAATCATGACACAAGTGAAATCACCATTTTGGGATAAATAAAATAAGTGAACTTATTAAGATGAATTGATATAGTTAGTTTCTATCATCATTTTCATAGTCATAATTGAGTCATAATTGTGTAAACATACTTAAATTTGCTCTGCACTTTGAGGACATCATCTGTCTGTGACTGATATACAACAGCTTTACAGTTTAACTTATTTACATTTCATTCATTCCCACCTCCTTAAAATCCTTACTCATCATCTGGTCTCGCTCACATAGACAGTCGCACATATGGGATCCCGTCTGTGCGCTCTGACCTTCCAGCTCCACCCATCAAGAGAGTCAGCGACACTACTAACTACGGCGATACATCCACAGCTGCAAAACTTCTGCATCCATCAGTTCACGCTCTCCAGGGTGTTCATGAGGAGCACTTGCTCTGTCCTCGCACCAAGAGCGAGGTACGCACCATGCACCAGATCAGTGGTACAGTGTACCTAAATAGAAAATTAGAATTACTGTGAATAAATAACGGGAAGCCACAACAGGGAAGATATTCTATCAGAAATTCTTTTATGTCATTGGCTGTTTTTGATGTGTGTGAAATTAAGATTTAATTATTATTGACCAAGTGGACCTTTTTTGAAAAATGAATAGGTGATGAATGAGACTCATGTTAGTTAATATACTTTATTCATAGCAGACAATTTTTTCTGGTCATAGCAGGAAAGCACAGGTGTTACTAACAGCATTAATGATGGCAATGTTGATTAAACAATTTCACTTTGTTCTATTCCATTGCATACATAACATTCATTTGGCAGGTGCTTTTGTCTAAAGCGACTTGAAATACATGTATTCAGCCTCCATGATAAAACAGTTGTAACTGTCAACATCACTCTCCCTGACACTGGAAAGTTATAATCTTTACACAGTTTTCATTTTACACAATTCAATCTCAGCAGTAGACAGTCTTTCATGTTTTGTGCTCTATTAGATAATAATCTGCAACATTACATAATCAATAAGTCTCTGAACTCTTAAGACTTCATTGAAAGTTCAACTCAGGGGGAACCTTTTTTTTTAATTATTATTATTATTTATTTTTTTAGTGCAATAGGTTTTTTGTCAGACACCTTTCATCCTGTTCTTCACAGATTGCAGAGATCTTCAGGAATGTGGGTGTGAATATTTCTGAGGAGACCTTTGAGGAGGCCTGGAAGCTGGCGTCCATGAAGCAACCAGATGGGAAAGTTTGTGTCGAGGTTTTCTGTAATGTACTCAAGGAAATTAAAGCAATGTAATATGGAAGATGTTTTTTTTTTACTGGTATAGTGTTTCCCCATCATCATCATCATCATCATAATCATTATTTCTGTTTAAATATATATCTCAGCTGTCTGGTGAAAACTTTGTAACCCTAAAATGTTTCGGTTTGATTGGAATGCATTTTTGACATAATGAAGAAGAATGGACTTTGGCAAGCCAAAATATCTGACCCTGAAGGAAGAAAGATACATACGTTTAGGAATGGGACTATATATGATTTTTATCACGATAAAAAACATTTACAATAAGTCGATTGTGGTGAATTTCCATAATCGGGATAATCGTGACTGGGAATAATGGTTAATATCCTCACGAGTTACTTGAAAATGCTGTCTAGGCCTGGCTTGCCTATCGTAACCCAGCGGTGGCGAAGTTACGCTTTCCGAACCAGCAAAGCTTTCAACACAGATGTATGAAAAAATGGTTCATTTCCTGAGGCTTTTCAAATCAGAGCTCAATGGGCACATCGGCTGGTCAATGTGAGAAAAAGCGTATGTTATGTAGAACGTTTCACAACCGACCAACACATGGATGTCCTTGAAGCAATAAGTTATGGATAGATGAATACATGAATGAATTAATCAATAAATAAAATGATACACAAATAAATAAATAAATAAAACAGTTCCACCACATACTCCAAATAACAGAAAAAAAGATAACATTTTGCATTTCTGATTTGGACAATTTATCTTTCATAAACAAGTAAAACTCATGAAATCATCGAGTAAAAAGAAAGGGAGAAAGGAAGACATTTAGCAATGGGCCTCAGATCGGACTCGAGCCCGGCCCGCCGCCAGATGGCTCAACCTTGTGTGGAAGGTGTTTCACGATTCACGAAGTTGCACCGCTTTTCGCGCATTTTTAAACCATTGAATCAGAGTTAGACGCAGTCACGTGGATGTGTGTATGCGTGAAACGAAGCTTCCGACGTCATTGGTCACGTGATTTTGATAGAACGAATCAAGCCTCGATACACAGCTTCAGTGAAATTATTCTCTTTTTTTTGACACACTTAGTCACAGTTAACATCACTACAGGAAAAAAGTTTGTCTCAAAACTCTGTGTGTGTAAAACATGAATCCACAAGCGTAGGGAAAAGAAGTGGAACATGAAAATGAGACGCCCACCCGCAGAACCTGGCGGCAGAAGGTGTCTGCGCCGCGGTCCAACGCCGCCAATTTGAACTCCCATCTCCGCGACGACCATTTAGCCCTGTTCGCCGAACTACAGGTAAAATTAACTCACGTTACTGTAAGTTACCGTTACTTAACGTAACGTACTTTAGTGTTGGTTACGTTATACTAACGTTGACGTGTATGTAAATGTTCGTAGCGTTGTGTCTGCTGTGTGTTGTGAACGTTATGTGACGTTTCGGTGAGCAGTGTATTGAGCTAACGTTATCTAGGTGGCTAAGTAGCTATTTAGCTAAGTAGCTAAATAGCTACTGCGTTAGCTAAGTAGCTAAATAGCTACTTAGCTAACGCATCTCCGCTGTCCGCAGTTTAGCACAGCTCGTCCTTCAATCTTTAACTGTAACAATAATCTGGCCGTCGCTCATAAGTAATAGTTCAAATCAATTAAACTTTATTTCATTTGAAAGGAAATCTCGTTGCAAGTACACATAACATGGCAGTGCATGTATTTATCAACAGCAACAACAACTATAAATGTAAGTTTGATCATTTAGTAGGCTGTATGCATGCAGAAATTACCATATACAGCATTTCTAAATCTATAATTCAGTATTTCCGCTGCAAATTCACTCGGCAACTGCACGAACTATACTAAATAAAATACAAAAAAGGAAAAAATAAAGTGATTTCGTTATGTTTTAGAGCAGCAGAGTTCAAAGCATATTTCCATAATTATCGCAATTATTTTGGCCAGGATAATCATGACCTGAAATTTTCATATCGTCCGATGCCTAGTTGTGTTGTTACGTTTTTGCTTGAAAACCATAGTATAAAAATCTCAACCACCAGTTACCTCATTGTCAAATAGTTAGTAGTAGGTACTGGAGATCTAAATGAACAAATTTAGTATTCAGTTTAAGCTGTACTGTCTTGGACGTGATGCATTCTTACACTATTCTGTATGAAGTCCAAAGAAACAAAATGTTAATTTTTTTTGTCTGTGGGGTGTATTTGAGCTGGCAGGTGAACTAACTAAATACTCAGAACTATTGTGTGTCTTCTGCACATAATCACTTCATTTTATTTTGTGCTATTACACACTGAATAGCACACTGAAAATGTATCATATGCTATTATTCTGCTCAACTTTCACACTGTTCATTTATCATGATTCTGGTTATGAATCTGTTGAAACATTAAATACAGGAAAGCAACACTCCATAGAACTTATTTTAAAAATGAAACCTTTTTTAATGGCTAACATCAGACTAATGCGTTTTGTCATATAAGCCTTTATCTGAGCTTCCTCTTGACCTATTTTTTGGATTATGGTTTTTTGGAGAGCTGCCTTTCCTTTTATTTCATGAATTCGCTGGAAGCCACTTAGCAGTTTCTGGCAGAGCACCCGTTCAAATGAAGAGTATGTGAAGAGACATACTGTACATTTTCAATATATGGACTTATATCTTACGCCATCAAGTTTTGTATGCGATGATATTCTGGAGAACTGAGCTGCATGTTGAAGCTCTATTTTCATCAACAGCAACAAACCACTTGATGCAGTATTACATGCAGTGTTTGGAGCATGGACCACATTTTAGATCAGTAAATAAATTTTGACTTAACTGTTCTGAGAATTCTTCAAAGGGGACACACCTGTCAGGTGTATGGGTGGGTTCACTTGTTTACATATAAACCAACCTTCTGTAGATACCAACGAGATTTCTGTGAGATCCATTTCCATCAATTTTTTGCTATTTTTGTGGAGTCTGGTCGCGGTGGCAGCAGGTTAAGCAAGGAAGTCCAGACACCAGAGGATACAGAGGAGCAGTGGTTCTACTCTGAGCTCCCTCCGGATGTCCGAGCTACTTACCCTATCTACTAAATAAGGGTGAGCCCAACCACCATACAGAGAAAACCCATTTCAGGGACCGCATTCTTTATTTTGGTCACTACCCAAAGCTCATAACCAGAGCTGAGTGGTGGATGTAGATTGATTGGTAGATCTAAAGCGTCGCCTTCCAGCTCAGTTCCTTTACTGCAGTGGTCCGGGACAATGCCCGACTTACTGAAGTTGCACCAAACAATATCAATTAACTTTTTCAGAATGGATATATACTTTATGTCTATAATTAGGTTATTATCATGGCTATTTGTCAGGCAGTGTTACATTCATGTTTGAGTCTGCTTTTGGTCTTGACATCACAAAGTTTTGAGATTTGTTTCAGTTGGGACTTGACTTGACTTTGTTCTTGCCTGGATATTGAGTCTAGTTTCCTGTCAGTATAACTATAGTTAGCCAATATACAAAGACTCAGTGGAGAATCTTCTGCACTGACACTGAATGGCATTTAATCAGGGGAAAAAATTCAATAGAAATTTTTTTGCCTAGATTTTGTTTTCCTGTGTTATAGACAACATAACACATTTTAACGGCTCTCAACCATCATTTGTATTCATTAGTCATAATATTAGTAGCACCACAAATTCACTAGAGATAAACATGTCAGTAAACAAAGGAAGTTTTTCCCCCTGTTACATGTCTGTTTATGGAGAATCCAGTTCACTATTAAAATGAAAAATATAATTTCATGCATAGAAACTGCTAATTTGTCGTGTCAACATTTTAGCTTTTTGTTCAAAGCAACATGCCATGTTTTGTTGGTACACCTAAGCTGCTGTGAAACAGTATTAAATCTTTAATTGATTGCTTTGGACTTAATAACAAAACCCCGCAAGACTGTTCCTTTGCTTGTAAAACACTTGAGTAAATACTGAGGTACATTCTCTGTACCTTTTATCATTTGTCCTGTCAGAGTATTAGATTTGATTTCCAAGCATATTTATCTTAATTTTACTAATCAACCTTAAAATTAGAGTCTGACAGAGAGTGCAATTAATTTATGGCTTCTTGGAGCTGAGACACATGCAGACATACAAACAAGACGCACTCTCAAAGAGGTACGAGGAATTGTTTGCAATCGGTTTCGCTAACCAGATTAATGAAACAGGTTGGCACACAGCCTTGACTGATCCACATGTCAGAGCATCACAAAACAGTAAAATAACTAATAAAATAACATTAGCTTTTTGTATATTCACCACTTGTTTTTGTTTTTTTCTTAATTTCCATTAAACTGAGTGATGCACAGGCGTGGTAAATTGTTTAATGTGCTCTCACCATATCCATGAGCATATTGACATGTGCTAAGCTAACTGCACTCATTTAATCTCATTATGACTCTGCGAGATGCTCTACTGGAACCAAAAAACCCCCACGCAAACTTCCACAGACTGCATATTACTATGCAGGAAAATTAGAATAATCCTCAGCGTTTTTCATTATGCATGAATTAGTGGCCGCTAATGACAGAATCCTCTCTGTTTGTCAGATATGTTGTCAACATTAATAATGCTGCAGCAAGCTTTCACAGAATGGGATGACACGCAGCATTCACAAGCCTGTCAGACGTGATGTTTTTGACAAGTGACACGTTTCTGGCATTGACTGTGGGCTCAGACACTGTGAGTTAGTTAAACAGGTGGAGAATTTTTTAGTAGAATTTGTCATCCTTGCTTGCAGCCATGCTATACAACTATTTTCACTTGGTATAAGACTAGTGTTGTGATCTCTTGATGACCCATAAAGTACTTCCTTGAACAGTCAACTGCGTTGCCGACAACCATGTACTAGAACATACGCCCCCTCCTGCCTACTATGGAAAAGGGATTATCTTGTTTCACTTTGCTTCTTATCACAAGTACCAGAATACTCTTATATTTGGTCCCTTACATGTTTCATGAATCATGTGGAGAATACAGTTATGGAGTAGAAGGACTTGGCCTTTAATGCTAATGCTGCCTGCTGTTACACAAGCCTGTTGATGCTGAGGTCAGAAACTGTTGTGTGAAACGTTGCAAACTTAGAGACTATTTGGACACTTTCATTTTTTTTCCTTGCCATGGATTTATTGTTTATTTAATTCTAATTAATAAGGTCAATAGTTTCTTAAATAGTTACATCAAAAAGAAATTTTGCCATATGCAGAGGACAACAGTTCTGTCTCTGTGCACGGTTACACATGTTGTACTATATTATTTGGACATGTTGTGGAAAGGGTGTCGTAGTATAGTTCAAGTGTGGTTCAGCTGAAGTTACCAGTCTAGTATTTGTACAGTCCCTTTGTTCATCAGTGCAATGTCAGAGTGGCCAGTTATTGGTACAGTGTAGATGAGATCTCATAAGTATTGGTTGTGAGTGTTGGGGAGGGTCAGATTTCCTGTGTAAATTAAAGGGTTAGAGGTACAGTTTGGTGTCACAATCAAACAATTTATTGATACAGGTTATTGGTTTAACAAATTCAATGTGGAGTTGGGTGTCAAAGTTCATTTTTGACCTTGGAAACAATATTTTACTTACTTTTCTGTGAGCTTTCAGCCCCATCTCATGGTCTTCCTTAGCAAATGAAGGTTAATCACTTATAATAGAGATGACCAAGGAATCCCATGACAAAAACTTTCATGCGTACTGTAGGTCAAGCTCCAGAAAACACAGTCAGAGGAAAAGAGAGTCTTCCTCCAGTGACCTCATCGCGCTGTCCATATTTTAGCTAAAAACACTTAATGAGTGTTACTCCTACTTTGACTTGTATTACTAACATTTTCAACAGTGTGAAATCACTGGAGGAAGGAACTAAAGGCATCTGAGGATCAAAGGATGACCTTCAAGTAGGAGGATTGGTTTCATGTATAAAGTTCTGAGGTCTTGAGTTGTCTGCACAGCTTCAGTGGCTATGGCTTTGGGTCCCATTTCATGTTCACCTTCAGTCTGCTGCTCACTTTGACTGTTGTCCAGTTTAACGTAGTCTTTCATACTTAAATAAATCCAGTTGAACACTAGTCTGCTGCTGCGTCCTCCGCCAGTTTCCAGTGCCAGTGCCAAACAGTCGTGACCGTCCAGTCAGGAGAGGCCCCCCTCGTCAGCTCTCTGTGGAATCTGGAGGGAAAGAGGCAGACATGTTTAACGGGAGCTAAGAAAGTTTACTCTCATTTTAAACATGAACAGCTCCTCAGACTGATGTAAATCATGCATACCCAGGGGCTCCACTATTGAAAATTCAAAAGAGCTGCAGAAGAGCATCGTAAATTCTTAGTAGTACAAGTTTATTTCAAGTCCAGAAGATAAAGGCAGACTGACTAACGCTGACATTCAAACTAAGTTTTGCTTCTTGTTTCACCTTGAAAATAATGAGGTGAAGATTATGAAAATGGCTTCCTTATTCTGTCAGACTGTTTGCTAGCCTTTGGGATAACATTTGAAGTGTAACAGGCTTTCTCAGAGGGGATTCTAAGACCTGAAACAATGGGAGGGAGAATCTGGCCAACTAGATAGGTGGGCATTAGGTAGAATAGACCCCACCGTGTGGTCCAACAACTAACTGGATTACTGATAGGAAACGGAAAGAGGCTTTAACTGTTACATGCACACTGGGAGTGAAATTATTTCCTCCTTTTTCTCTTACAGCAGCAAAACAATTCAGTGTTTCTTTAAACTAAAATCAGAGCGACTGAAGTGATGCAGCACCAGAATTACACATAATCAGAACTGGAGTCTATTAGCCCTTTTCATATTGTTAAAGTAATGGCTTTTTGTTATTCAGGCATGGTTGTCCATTATGTTGATGTTCCTTCTGGCTTCATTCAGACATGAGGACATTTTACAGAAACAGCCACAATACTTGCACAATATTTGGTACCTGCAAAATTGTGAGTTTAGTCGATATCAAGGAAGAAGCTCACTGATATATTTTTAAGCCTTAACTAATGAATCCCCTTATACATTTTCTCATCATTTATTAGGCAGAAGAATTTTCTGACTATCTTTTAAAGTCAGACAGTGACCAGAAAAAGTTTTTGTTTACCTACATGCTGCATGTCAATTGTTTGATATTCAGAATTTCATCCATGCATGAAAGAAAATTTTAGATATAAAGATGGAGACAGCTGGAGCAGCTATTATTGTGATTATAAATCTGACATTAGGAGAATCTCCTCAGCAATATCATGCTATTTTCTTGGAACAAATGAGAGGATAATTGATAGAGTAAGGATTCATTTATAGAGTGCTCTTAATGAGGACAAGACGTGCTTAATTTTCCTCTTTGCATGTTTTGTAGATGTTTTGTGAATTCAGACTTGCTCCAAAGGCTGAAAGATTCAACCTGGCAAGATTGCCTTCTGCTGATTTATGAGCACAACTACAGAGATTGTGAGCACAACCAAAATGCAAATGACCTGCACACAGTCCTGTGCCTGACCACATCCTGTGTAGACAGTTACGGAGGACTGGAGTTTCAGTTGCTCTACCGATGTGCTGTTTCCACTGTGGTAGCTATATAGGCACCGTGTTAAAGTAAATACAGCCACATTTGTGGGTTTTTTTGTTACTTTTTTTTCCCCCAATCAGTGCCTCTACTCATATTTCTTACTTTAAGGTGTTTCAGTTTCACCGTTTCCCTGAGAAAGGATTTAAACATTAGATAAATTTGCATCTGTACACATGACATTCAATTATCCTTTCCACATACAGACGGGTCCAGAAGTCTGAGACCACTTTCAGTCATGGTCTCACTCTATATTTGAAAAACATTTAACTCACCACCATGTTGTGTGTAGCTGTGGCTCTGTTATCCACCCAACAAAATCAGACTTGCCATATGTTAGAAGGCATGCATGTAACTTGAGCTTTTGCCAACACATAATTATTTTTCCAAGTAAATATTTGTACCTTTTTAATTGTGATTCAACATACTCTATACCGAGAAATAAAGCAAACAGAGATTTTGGCACCGAACATCTGAGCAAATTAATGATCAAAAATGAGCGTTAAGCAAAAAAGACCCAGCACACACGCTGCCGTGAAATAGATTTGAACATGTCATAGCTGATTGAGGGAAGATTTGTTGTAATCCACACTTTTGGACACATGGTGTGTTTGTGATGCGTGTGCAGACAACGAGCTCAGTGCTTACTCATAAACAGCAGTCGCAATTTTCTTTTGCGGGCTGCTGTCTTCACTAGAGGCCACTTTGAAGATTTTTGTGCCCTCTGGGTCATCGGGCCCTTCGTGTGTTGACAGGAGCCAAAACCTCATGACGATGAAGCAGAACTTTCTACCTGCACAGAGGAAGACGGAGCAGAGTTAGCAGCCCAGCAACATCAGTAGATTAGCAGTTTAAGTGGCTTTCTCAGATTGTGACAGACCTCAACTGACCAGGAAGTAACCCTGACAGAATGTATATTTCAACTCAAGTGTCATACAACTTTCTCACTCAGGCCATGTCCACACAACTACGTTTTAGTTTTAAAACGCATCTTTTTGCTACGTTTACACCTGCTGTTCACACTACTCCGGAGTTAAAATGGAGACCTTTGGAAACAATGATGTAGATACCGACCCACCCAAGGTCTCTCGCTGATTGTGTCTAACGTGTCAAGACTACCAGTGGTGAAGGCAACATGGACAACGAATACAAGCGTCGCTGACCTTGTTTTCTTTGGTAGCAGCTGTTTTGTGCATTTTAATGCTACAACTGTCTTTGCTGTTCCTTGTTTGTAGTATTTTCTGCAACTACCCAACTGCTCAGTAGACAATCTGCTTCCTGTTTACACAGCCATTTGCATGCCAAGTGTACGTGAATGGTCATGTGATATGCGTTTTCAGGTGTGATTGTATGGACGGAGATCAGTTCTGATACGGCACTAAAACAGTCAGCTGGGCGGTAGTAATGTAGACGTAGCCTCTGTTTGTTTGTTACTGTATGAAAACGAATTGTGCAAAACTTACCATATTGATCAAAGACAACAGACACGTCTTCTGGAAGCACAAATATAATATCATCCATTGTTATAGCTAGCTGCTGCCTCTGAGCATTGGTGAGAGACCGGCACCTCTTCTCAATATATTCTACCATCTGAAAGCACAAGAGAGACAAATCAAAACAAAAACTGACCGGGTCATGGATTATATTTGATCGTGAGACCCGTGTGATGAATTTAAACCTAATGTTGTATAAGAATCACACTGTTGGACTGCAAAACATTGTTTTACAATGTGATGCTGTGCTTTTTGGAAGTGAACACACTGCCCAAAAACACAGGAGTCTAATCGATACATATATATCACATGTTCATGTGTATATATATATATATATATATATATTTATTTCAGTTTCCATAGTACTAGTGGTCCGTAACAGAAGGCACAAATCTCCAGCATGTGCATGATTTGTTACCTCATTGGACACGACCCCTCTCAGTTCATGGTATCTGCCACAGGACATCACATTGGAGACATGGACCAAAGCCTGGGTCGGATGAGGAACAAGACAGGTGTTTATTTACCTGCATCATGGTCAGTAATGTTTGTGGGTTGTGTTGGTCGTGTTAACTTTGATGCTTTGGTGGAAACCTTTGTCTTCATCAAAGTAATAACAGGGAAAAACCAAATACACAACCACTGAATGTCTAGTTAAGAAAACAGTCTCCCTGTGAGGTCCATTTAGTTGCCATTCTGGAGCTTTTAATCATATCACACAATCTTCATCAACAGAATGTGTCTGCCCAGGTGTAATTGTAGAAGTTCAAATTAAGGATTTAAATTGTTAAGCCAGAACAAAAGTACATTTCAGCATCTACAACTCCACAACCACTGCTGCTGCTGAACAGCTACCAGGTGACATGAGGTGAGGTTTACACACCAAGAATGGGTTTGATCAAAGTTACAAGTGCAGTTGCTGTTGAGATACATTGATGATGAGGCAGTCTGAGATCTTTAGGTGTGTTTTCATCCTTACATATTTATCTATTATTAAAAGTGAGGAGCTAAAAACCTCCTCTAGGTCTTATAATACCTTCCCTCCAGCCTTTCATCAGTCTCATCCTAAGTTTGACCTCTGACCCCCCTCGTGGAAATGTCTGAAAATCAGTTTTTATGCTTCATTTACATTTGAAGAATCACAAACTTTTAAACCAATGCCACGTAAACAAATAAAGGGAGATGTTTGGAGCCCTTTATGGACCACATACAGGGAAACGTTTCCCAGCTTCTTACTACATCATTGGTTTAATGGTAATTAGTAGAGGGCGTGTTGGTACCCGTCAATAGTTACCTGTTTTACTCCTCTGTCAAACTCTACAGAGTTGACGTCTAACTCAAAGTACAGTTCGATGAGGAACATGATGCCTTTACAGCGGATCCATGTGAGCGGGTCAGGGATGCCGACCACGGAGATATCGGGCTGTCCACCGGAGCTCCCCTCCGGCTTGTCGGCTCCGGGCTGGGTGCTGAAAAGTCTGTGTTTCTGACTCACAAACGCGAACCTCCGCCTGCAGAGCCTGCGGCCTTGCGCTGCGTGCTCCCCGGAGAAAGGACGCGCACACACACCCGCCCACTGCCGGTGCACGACCGGCTGCCCGCTGCAGCTCGGGCCCCTCGTCAAGGCGCAGACCCCGGGCTTGCACGCCGCGAGGCCGCCGAACTCCCGGCATGCAGCGAGACTGGCGATCCGCTGCATCGAAGCGAGGAGGACGCGGCGTTACATGCGACGTGTGACCCGAGGACCGGGGCTGAAACAGCCTCCACTCACAGCTGCCTTCTCGGCAACCTTATGCAACTCACCCCATGCCGTACCCATAATCCTTCAGCCGTACACGACGTACACACACATGACTGCTGCCTTCCAGTGCTGTTGGAAATGTAGAAACAATCAGGTGGAGCGCTTTATTTTTGCTTTATATTAGGATTTAGTTACACTTGAAAGTACGGTAGTAGTGTCTCTGGATTGTACTTATTTTTTTTACTTTAAACTGGTATATATATATATTTTTTTATGAATATATTTTATATTGATCACGTGTGTTTGACTAATAGATTGATGCTGCTCCTAATCTCACCTGCAGACTAAAATTCCTTCAGGATAGTTAAAGTTGAAAAGTCGATGGGAAGTTAAAGGATTGCATGATGGTCAAATATGAAAATATACATGTGGCATTTCTTTTATACAAACAATTAATGTACAGTATGTAGATGTAAGTAGATTTCAAACAATATATAACATGATTTACCAGAAACAACAGCCTAATCTGACACAAACTTTTATTTATCGCTTTTATATAACTGTTAGTCGATTTAAAAGAAACTATCCACAGTGACAAGCTGGCTCTGGGTTTCTATGCTCACCAGTGTCATTATGAGCGTTCAGCAAAACCATGTATAATATTTTCTAGCAGCACATATTACATAACTAGCCTATAACGTATTTAATTTCAAATAATATTTGTAGTTATCGAGAGAGAGTCTATAGCTGTGTTTGACGATGAGCACTTAAAGGCAGCAAAGTGGCTTTACTGATAGAATCCAGTAGAGGGAGATAAATATCCATTTATCTGTCGTGTTGTCTGTGGTATGTGTGTTGGATGTCGCTAGTGTGGTAGTGGTCGTTGTGTGTGTCTGTCCCAGATTTTGTGCCTCAATGGGTGTCACCTGTGTGTGTTGTGTGTTATAAAGTATGAAAAAACTACAAAACAAACCTAAGTATCTGTGCGTGCATGTATTATTAACACGATAGAGAAAGGACAACAACACCACACACACACACACACACACACACACACACACACACACACACACTACAGAACCAGTTGTTCCTACGGGCCAGCAGTTTCCGCCCAGGCTTTGTTTTCTGCGCAGGTGCCTAAAATGATTGTGCGAAAATGTGAAATTTGATCAGCAGACCAAAACATCATTAAGTCCCCGCTGTTCCCGGTGATTACAGGTCAGCGCCGTTTTCCCGTCTCTCTCTTCCCTCCTCTGCCACACGCACGCGGCAGACACCTGCGCGCGGCCCCGCCCACCTGAAGTTCTCCCAACTAATTTTATTTATCAATAATTAGCAGCGCAGCACTTGGTTATTTGAGATTGCGCTCAGACACGGAAACCTTTCCGGGATGTATCATAGTAATTACGTGTGTCAGCTGAGAATGCTTTTTACATCTGCGAGTCGAATGGAGCAGAATATTAACGACTCCACGCTGGATGGGATTAATTGTTGGAGAATCTGCAGATAAACACACAAGTGAAAAAGAGTTTGAGGCCAGGCTGCTGTTTATAACACCATAATCAAGATTTCTAACTAGGTTTAGAGTGAGGAGGAGGAGCAGGAGGAGGAGGATGGAAGGAGAAATGAAAGGAGTGAAGATAGGAAGGAAGACAGAGTTCCCATTAAGTCCAGTGAAACCAGTACATCTCTGCAAGAATACCTAGTTTGTGGCAGTTTGATTAAAAAAAAAAACTTAATTTGCATATGCAAGATTTTAGAATAATATACATCATAATAATAAAGCTCTTAAAGATTTTGACATAATGTCTCTTCAGGACAGGGCCACAACAGTAGATAATCATGTTGGGCCCACCTTAGTTGATTTTGTACTTTAGTGCAGTTTCTCTAACAGATATTAGTTTACATGGAGGGAAACTTTTGGGCCTCTTATTGTCCGGGGGCCCTTGGTTTTCTTGTTGCTTTTTTGCATAACTTGTAAACTTTCTCGCGAATAAGTTGTCACATACAGACGAGGTTTACCGACTGAAAATAAGCAAACAATAGAAAGAAAGCGTAGTGTATGAACTAACAGATTTAAACTGCCTCCAAAACCAGTTAAAACCAGTCTGACACGTCGATCCTACCAGTAGGGCTGTGGCTCCTGCTGACGACACAGAGGTCATGTCTTTCAACAGCTTTCAACATCCTGAAGAGGCGCTGACAGTCAAACACAGACACTTCACACTGTGGACTTTTAAGGCAGATTCTGATTTTCCAGAGTTGGTGTCTTTTAATATGACAGTTTTTCAAATTAAAAAATACTCTTTCAAATTAAAACATAATGACTAGTAGCTAGTATTTTGTTGTCAGGGTATATTCTTATTTTTGAAGCAGCAGTTAGACCTTCATCTAGGGAGATAACATTTAAAGAAAATAGAAGTGAACAGTTAAATGAGCGGCCTAAATGCTGTGGGACAAAGTTGAATATACAAGTTTTTTGGTGTTTAGTGACACATTTCTTTGGTGGATGTGATGGCACCGAGGCCCAGACTGCCAGTCTGTTATTCCTCCACTCTCTCAATCTTTCTCAATAGGTTGTTAAGGTGTTTTCTTAGTATTTTTACTGTAAATAATTCAAGTTTATCTGCTGCACTCACTGTAGGACACTGCAGCTCAGAGTGTCAAAGGCCTGTAATGTAATCCAGAGTCACAGAGATGGTGTGTGAGGGCTTTAATGTTGTAGCCAGTGTCTCCGTTGAGCTCTTTCCTGTTGAGCCACTGAAAGGCACTGTTGTCCACAGCTGAGCTCCTGGGTAACATCCACCGACAGGGATGAAGGTGTCGTGTTCAGCAAACCTCCAGAGTGTGCGAGGCAGGTCACTGGTGGAGCAGAGGTGAAAAGTGGTTGATCAGTGATCATGAATAACACACCAGGCTCTGGAATATATCACTTTATGTTTGATGGATTAAATCACTCCTTTAAAATAATTCTGTTAAGCAGAATTTGGATGTCTGACGTTCATGTATATCAGGTGAAACTTCCCAGTGGCCCCGAGCTAAATAAATCTGAGGGGTCACAAGACAACCAATAGGATGAGGAAGCAGAAACATGTTTCAGCTCCACAACATTAGGACTGTATCTAAAATAACAACCTACTCATTGAATATAGTGAAATCCATTTACTGTCTGTTCTCAAAAATACACACAACCGAACAAAAAACTAGTTGTCAGTGGCATGAACACTGCTTTCTGCAACAATCCCACAATGCATTTATAGATGTGAAAATTACAGTAGTAAAACACTGCACCTGATGATTTTATTAGTGTCTGAAATCTCAATTTTTCTATTGAGTGTTTTTTCTTTAATATTTTCCTCAAATCTTTTTTATTTTTCTAGTATAAATTATTTGAAAACCAAAGACGTGTACAGAGTTGCAAGTAGATCATAGTCATTTCATTGTTTTAAGGATCAGAAGTCACAAGAGGTTGAGACATATAAAATATACATAATATAAAACTAACTAACTTGTACACTCTGACTCCAGCATGTCAGTTTTGAAAATGTTCCTCGGTGAAATGACGATGGACTCAGAAGCGCTAATTTTAGTTTTTTGTTTTTCTTTCATTATTTATGAAATAACTTCGTCAACTTTTTCCGCTGGAAAGGATAGCATGTTAAATCTGAAAATATGTTGTTTTTGTGAATTTGAATTTAATCTGGGCTACAGGTATTGGATTTTGTGTGTGCTGGCAGGGAGCCACACACAATAGCAGGCACAGGTGTTGACCAGGAAAAAAAAAAAGAGAGAGAGAGAGAAAAGGGAAAGACAGAAAGTGATTTGAATTATCATTGTAGAATGCGTTTGGCATCTCTGCTGTGGAGAGAGCTTTAAATAGAGCCACAAAGTTTTATGTAAAATGGATGCATGGATATTTCCAAAATTTATGTTCCTCCATTTCTTTCTGGTCTATTTTTTTATTTAAGCTTTGACTAACTCTCTATTTCAAAATGCAAAGCTTGATCAAGAGTAGAGATATCTTTGACTTGAGAGCGGGGTAATGAGAGAAATTAGCACAAATGTTCTAAGTAATAGTTCCTGATTTTTTCACTCACAAATTATTTTTCAACTTGTTTTTGTATCTATGCATAAATTAAAAAATCTGCTGAAATTTATTATTCATTGGAGATGTGATTAATATGCAAAATTATGCAAATTAAGATGCAATTAGGCTCCAATTCTCTAGTGGAATTTTCCATTATAATTTAATACAAAGTAACAGAGTAATTGGTGTCACGTGTAATTACGGTTACTCAAGTGCACTTTCAGGCATGCAAATGATTCACTATACATGTTGGTTATCCTATGCAAATATACCATGTGGTGTTTTAACAAGTTGAGGAAAACACAATGGGTACGTGGTTACCCAGTGGGGTTGGAACAAGGTAAAGACACCAGGGTGTTTTTTTTTTTTTTTCAATGAGCACAGTTGGAAAACTTTCAGCGCTCAGATTATCACCAGTTAAGACTTCCAGTTTCTTTTTTTTTTTTTTTTTTCATTCTGAATTTTTGATGAATTGTGGAGAGGCGCAGACTTTCATCCATTACCAATTGATTAATGAGAGAAAACTGCTTTGGATGTGACTTTTGGAATCATGTTCGAGGGGAAAGGAGGTGGTTTCCAACATGAAACTGTTGCTTCAGTTAACACAAATCACAAGAAGTGTCAGACCCCCAACACCTCCACCTCCTCTACCTCCTCCACCCCTTCCTGGCTCCTCGCTTTTTGTGTCTTCATTTACAACTGCGCCCTGTTTGATCAATGACACTGCAAATGTCACAAGCAATCGCAAAACATTATGCGCGGGGGACAATTACGCCACAGCTCAGTGTGACAAACTTTGCATTCGGCGGCCGGGCGGAGAGAAGCAAGGCGATTATGTAATTGATATCTATTTAGATAGAATGAAAGTCCTGTAAACGCTTGGAGGGAAAAATGTCTCGCAGAGCGATTTCTTCTTGGGAGGCAAATTGATTTTAAATTGTTACATGGCTGGTTACATGTCCTGACATCTT